ACTTTAGAGATTAGGACAAAGAAGCTAAGAGCAGAGTAGGACTTGCCCAAGGTTACCCAGCCAAGAAGTGGCAGAGCCAGGATTCAAATCCAAGCCAGGATTCAAATCCAAGTCAGGATTCAAATCCAAGCTTGTCAGTTCCCTGAACCATTAAACCTCTCCGCTTCTTTTAACTTGCTTATTTTTCAGTAATAAAATGATATTATTTTCATAATGATATTATTTTAAACATTAAATATTAAAAAAAGGTCTCCTTAAGAAAGTAGACCCATTTATTTTATTGGCCATGAGTATTATTTTCATCAAATGAAAAACCCTACCTCACACCATATATAAAAATCAGCTCCAGATAGATTGCCAACCTAAATGTAGTACAAAATGGTCATGCTTTTGGAAAATGATACAAGAGAATATTAGCATGCTTTGGAGGTATGGAAGTATTTATTTAAAATAATGTAAAAATAACCATAAGTAAGGGATTGAGAACTTAGACTGTGCTAAAATTAAGACCTTCATTTAAAAGTGACAGTAAGGGAATGAAAAAAGTGAGCAGGAAATATTTACAGTAGGGACAACTAACAAATGGTCCAGAACATAGAAAGGACAAATTCATTGAAAAATGGACAACCCAACAGAAAATCAGGTAAGACACTTGAACAGCACATTATGAAAAAGAATATCCAACAGACCCATATGCAGATGGAAAAATGTTCAATTTTATTACTCATTGGGGAAATGCAAATTAAAACTACAATGAACTACCACTGCACATCCATCAGAATGGCTAAAAATAGAACACCTGACAATGCCGATAGTCAGAAGGATGTGGAGCAATGGAAAGGCTACAATATGGCTGGAGGGAAGAGAAGAAATTATTCCCAGCACTTTGGGAAGCACTTTGGAAAACTCTTTGGTAAGATCTACTAAAGATAAACATATATATCCCCTTTGGCCCAGCCATTCTACTCAAGAAAATTGTGTTTACATGTTCACCCTATGTTATGAATGTACTAGAACAAAAATTACTCTAGAATGTTAAAGACCAAGATCCAGGGTGGCACGCTTAGGTGGTAAAACCTAAAGCAAGTAAAAGTCAGTACAGTGGGTGCCTTCACAGAGTGAGGGGAGGAGAAATTGGTGTCTGGGAGGAGGCAGGAGATTGCTTGTAGAGAGCGAGTTAAGATTGACTTTTTTACCTTGGTGATTATTAAGCAGCTGTGTTCCCTTTGTCATAATTTGTTAAGTGAAATATTTATGTTTCAGGTACTTGTCTATATATATATATGTGTGTGTGGTATTTTATAATGGAAAAGGATTAAATAATTTGAAAATGATTTGGAGAAGTGAGTGCCTATAGCCTTACCTTACATTGTGGGTAGACCAGATGTCTTGGGTATAATGACTGGAAGGGATGCATATGGCACGTGTTCTATGCTGAGTTTTGTTCTTTGTGACTTATCTCCATTCACAACAACTGCATGATGTAGTAACTAGTCAGTCATGCATCACTTAATGACATTTCAGTCAACAACGGACACATAGATAGGGGTGGTTTCTATTGGCTCCACCAGGTAGCCTCTGGGTGAAGTAGGTGCTGCCATCTTGGTTTGTGTGATTATACTCCATGGCAATCGTACAACCTCGAAATCACCTAATACTCGTTTCTCAGAATCCCTCTTGTTAAGCCATGATGATTGTATTATTATCCCCATTAAACAGATGGGGAAACTGAGAACAGTGAGGTTAAATAACTTGCCTAAGCTGGTCAATGCTCAAGTTAGATCTCACTGCAGGTAACCTGACCCCAGAGTAGATGCTGTTTTCTCTGAGAAGTAGAATAAGAAATAGAGTAGATGTATATTTCCCAAAATGCAAAGGTATCTAAAAGGAGAAACTAGAAATATTTCTGTGGCCATGCTGAGAGGAGGGCGTGTGTATGAGCAGGGGTGGATATGTAACCTGGCACTGGAGGGCCTCACCCACTGCATCAGGACCCGGAGACTCCAGTGCTTTTTATTTTTCTTTTCTTTTCTTTTTTTTTTTTAAGATTTATTTATTTATGCGTACAAGAACTGGGGTATAGGCCAGAGCTGTGGGGGGGACAGGGGTGAGAGGATTCACCAGAGACAGAGTGGGGAGCAGAACAGGCAGACTGACTGAAATACACTGCTGAGGGGAAAAGCAGGTGAGTCAGGAGAGGTCTGCTGCACCCTGTGGTTCAGCTCCCTGGCCAGGGATAGAACTTGGCTGCATTGGCTGCGGATTGCTTCATAGTGCTGAGACTTAACCCCTTGTGCCACCAAGGAGGCCTCTCCAGTGCTTTTTCAACCTGAGTTGGTGGATGGAAGTTAAGGGCTACATGAACGGGGGAAAAAACAATTGCCTCTTTGCTTTTACAAACTTTTAAGTCAAAATACAGTTTGGAAACCATTGAAAGTTCCCAAGACCTTTTTCAGGGGGGTTAATGAGGTCAAAACTGTTTTTTATAATACAGAGATGTGTTTGTCCTTCTTACTCTCCAAAGGTTCACTGCCCTATGATGACTAATGGTAGGCGTGCATGCGTATTCTAATCCTTTAAAAACTCAGCTTTCTTTTGTTAGGTGGTAAATATTAATAGCTTTCACCCACGTATCCAAAAAGGTCTTTGGGTGACCACATAATTTTTAAAAGGGTATAGTTTAAGAATTGCTGGTGTAATTGAAATATAGCAGGTCCTTCTGTCGGGGGGTGGCAGGCAGAGTCGGGGGGCCAACTGCGGGACTATAAGCAGACTCCTGGCTTTATCTTGAGGAAAGCCCATGGCTGTTGACATCTGCACACTCATCCAAACTTCTAGGTTACCACTGTTTTGGGGCCTGCCAAGGGATCTTGCAGTTTAAGACATGAATAGCGGCACATGCGTTACTGCATCACAAATCTTGAAAAAAATTTGCAGATCTATAATTCAACAGCATGGGCTTCCTTTGTAACTGGGTGTATTTATTTTATGCATGCAAAAGTGTGCCTCTGAGCCAGGATTGGCCAGCCTGCCCGTAGGGACATTTAGCACAAAGTAGGTTAAGAACAGCAAAGGCAAGACCACCAGAAAACTCAACCTAGAGAGAGGGTACAATTGGCAGGGATGGGAGGGAGGGGGTTAAGGGTATTTGAGTCTGACTTGCAGCCTCTATTTATTTTAATTTAAGCTGTAATCAGACTCCAGAAGGTAGGGAGGGGGAATCCTCGCTGTGCAATACCTCGAAACCCCCATTCTCAGTCTCTGAAATCTGTTTCCCCAACCTGCAGACACTGCTATTTTTGAATTACAAAGCCAAGATGGGGGCCTTTCTCTCTGCAAACAGGAAGGGGGAACAGCTGAAAACTGTGGCCCCTCAGACTTTCCTGCTGCTCCATGAATGCACAGCCCCCCCTCCCCTAGCCCCCCCACCCCCAGCATAATTTGAGGCCAGCCACTCACAGCCTTCAAATGGATCACAAAGGTTTACGGCAAAGTTCTCTCTGGCTCTCACCTGGACCTCAGGGCAATTTCCCGAGTTCAGGCATTGCCGATAAGAACAGCTGGCTCTTCTGTCCTTGCCCTGGGCCAGGCCGTGTTCTTAGCGTGAAATGCCCTGTGTCAACGCGTTTAAGCCTCAGAATCCATGGGGTCTGCACGATCACCCCCTTCATTTTACTCACTGGTGGGGAAACCGAGGCCCGGGGCGGTGGATCAGTTCCTCTCCCCCACCCTTCACCCTCAGGGCGCTGTCCTTTGTGGCTTTAATTTTGTTTTCGGTTTGACGGAGTCCTGGGGCTAAGCTTGGAGAGGGAGGAAGGAGCAAGATGGAGCGAAAAGAGGACGCGCGATGGGGGGAATCCCCTGGGTCCAGGGCGCAGGTGCCGGCACACCTGCGTGGATCTGGCTGCGCAGCGAGTGGGGGCCGCTGTCCATGCCCCGGGGGCTCCAAAGCGGCAGGGTGGGGCGCTCTGAGAGGCGCGCAGCCTTACCTGTCCCGATGCTCACCTGGTGGCCAGCTCGGAGGTGGAGGTGGTGGCTGCGTACCAGGCCTTCCCGGGTCCCCCTTCCAACCTCCTGCCCCGCCCCGGGGGTGGGTGGGCGTGGGGCACCCCGGACCGGCCGGACCTGTGGGACCCGGGGCCCCGGCTGTCTGGGGAGGCCGTCACTTCTAGACAGCAGGCTCTTCCGGGGCTGGGACGGCTGTGGGCGGCGGGAGGCCTCCGCGCCTTCACACTCATAAATACCGCCAGCACTGTGCTGGCCCGAGCCGCGCGCCGGCAGCTGGCGCCCCCGAGGGTGAGCTGGGGTCCGGGAGGGCGCCCCCACCCTGGACTGGCCTCCAGACTGAGAGTCCAGCCTGGCTCTGCCGGGGCAGGTCTTGCCAGAGCTGAACTGGAGCTGGCCAGGCAGGAACAGGGGAGAAGGGGGGTGGGGTGGGTAGGCCGGGCAGGACCGGGGGAGACAGCTGGAGCGCAGGTGGAGATGGAGTGGGAGGATTGGGGTCACCAAAGGCAGGATGGGATGCTGGGGAGGGGAGCCAGGGAATGGGGCACCTCTTCAGATAGGGTGGAATTCTGAGGAATCTGTGGACGGGGGCATGGGGTTCGCTGGGACCGCAATGGAAGGAGAGAGTGAGGTCCCAGCGAGCTGGGCGGAGGTTAGAGATCTAGGGAGAAGGGCAGAAAAACGAGGGCTGTGCTAACATCAGCTGAAAATGGGTTTGCCAAGGCAGCTTCCGAAGCTGAGAGCATCCACCCTCCCAAGCCTCGTGCACCCAGAGCGAGCAGCCCCCAGGGGACCCTGGCTTGAAAGCCAGCCTCATCCCATCCTCACTGTGCGACTGAATCACCCGGTTGCTCACCCTCCTCATGTGCGATATGGGGCGATGCTGAGGGTAGCTTCTGCGCATAGGAATGTAGTGAGGCTCTGATGACTTAATCTATGCAAAAGACTTAACCCACAAGGCCAAGCACTGGTCATTGTTTTTGTTTGCTCTGTAGCTCTGCACAGCCGCCTCTCGAAGACCTCCCTCCAGTCCTGCCAACCTCCCTGTGACCCTGCCTGACCCCCTCCACCCCATCCTCCCAGCTGCCTCCTGCTGTGGCTCTGAGACTCCAACCTATTCTGGACCCTTCCCCTTCCCCCCGCTTTGCCCCCCACCTTCCCCCTACCATGTATCCCCTTCATCCTTGCTGGTCCTGCTGCTGTCTGCTCCTCCTTCTCTCCCTGGGCGTCAGGGGAGCCCCAGAGCCTCCCAGTGCTGTCCCTGAACAAGTTCATCTGTCTTACCCAGGTAAGTGTCTGTCACCCCTCCCTGTGACTTCCTAGCGAGGCCTAGTTGGCTGGGAGCTCAGGAACCCACATTTCCGTGAGACCCGAGGTCAAGCTTGTGGTCCCGAGCCTCAGCGGTCCGCCTCTGTGAAGTGGGGATCACAAGCAGCAGTGCATGTGGCTATGCTGGAAATGACTCTGGTGCCCGGCCTGTAATGTGCGCTCTCTAAAGGGGTCTGCTGTTGTCCTTGCGAGTTGTGTCGCTCTCTGTGTCCCCAGGACCTGACCACTGGTGGACAGTAAGCTCCAAAATCAGTTGTGGCAGAAACCAACCAAGTCACTGATGTCAGAACTAGATTGCTCAACCCTTCCTTCAGCCCTTGCCACCTCCTCCCGACAAGGCTGCCTCCTGAGCATTGGTCAGGCAGTGGGGAGGCACCGTGATGGGAAGATCTGGGTCTCTGCTTCCTCTGCCCCTACACTGCCTGGGTTTGACTCGCAGCTTTGCTACTTGCTGTGTGTCATAGGACAGGTGAATTAACCTCTCTGGTCTCACCTCTTTGTCTAGAAATCAGGGAAGTATTAGTGTGACCTCATGGTGAGGAGTAAATGTGATTTTACCTGGCAAGTGGGAAAAGAGAGCTTAGTTTGAGGTACCATGTGCACTTGTTTTGGGTTTGGTTTGGCTTTTCCTACAATTGGGTTCCGTGGGGTAAAGTTGGTTTACACCACTGTATAGTCCCAGGTTCAAATCTCTACAAATGTATGTTTTTACAACGTACCTACCATCAATTTCCATGCTTTTATCTCAGGACTCCTGAGCAGTACCCAGAATTATTAAGAACCTCAAAGTCATGTGAGTTATAGCCACCATATTTGCCACATTAGAAAGTAAAACTGAGACAGTTAAGAATATTTATTAAGTCTCTTAAAATTATTCACAATAAATCCATTCTGTTGTAAGGGAAATGTCATTTTTCAGGGGAAAAAACCCTACATTTTACAAGAGAAACTGAGTGAAGAGAATGACAGTGATTTACATCTTTTTAAATATCTTCGATGTCTGGCTTAACGGGAGACTGCCAGAGTGTGTCTGCTTCGGCTCCGGTCTGCCTTGATGTTGTGCTTTGGATGATGTATAGAAAGAAAATTTGGTTGAATGCAGACCATGTTGGTTGAAAAAGGAAGACTTTTTACATAGAATTTCATAGTGTTTTTTTTAAAAAGATTTATTTATTTGTGCATACAAGAGCTGGGGTACAGGCCAGAGGTGCAGGAGGTGAGAGGACTCACCAGAGACAGAGTGGGGAACAGAACAGGTGGATTGACTGAAATACACTGCTGAGGGGAGCAGTGGGGAGTCAGGAGAGGTCTGCTACGCCAGGTGGGTAGCTCCCCGGCCAGGGATCGAACTCGTGCTGCAGAGGCTGAGGGCAGCTTCATAGGTTGCGTCTTAACCCCTTGCGCCACCAGGGAGGCCCAGCTTTTTTATTTTGAAATAATTTAGGATTGACTGAAGAGTCGACAGATGGTAGAGTCTCTGTACACCCTTCACTCAGCTTCCCGATTGTTAATCTCATGCATCCAAGGTCAAAGCTAAGAAATTGACCCTGGTATCATATCACTAACTGAACACTGTGGACTTTATTTGGATTTTACCCATTTTCCCATTAATGTCTTTATCCTAATCTAGGATCCCAGATCGCATCTCATCGCCATGTGCCTCCCTATCATGACAATTCCTCAGTCTTTCTTAGTTCTTTGGTGTCCTTCACACTTTAAAAGAAGGTCATTTCTTAAAGGTTAGTTGCCATGTGGAATCTGCCATGGAATGAATGAACTGGCTTTGGCCTTTGCTGGCCAGGTGAACGTGGACTCTGTAAAATGGGATGATGAGGAGCTTGTGTTCCTTACTATATTTTCTCCCCGAGAGCTTCAGCTGGATAACTCATCTAACCTCCGGTTGGACCTTTAGCTGTAGCTACTATCGGCATTCCCATTTTGCAGGAGAGTAAACTGAGGTTCAGACAGATGAACTGTGTGACCCCAGGTCCCAGAGTCTGGAATCTGAACCCTGACAGGCGGCTCAAGAGCCCATGATATTTGATTTACAATTCAAACCTTCCTGCCAATTTTAGACTTCACAGAAAATTTGCAAAAATATTAGAGTTTCTTTATCTTCCTTCCCCAGTTCCTCCTAATGTTGCCGTCTCCTATTATCTTGGTACAAGGATGTGACTGTATCCTAGTACTAGATCGCAGACCTCGTTTGACTTTTACCAGTTTTTCTGGAATGTCCTTTTTCTGTGCCAGGATCCAGTACAGACCCCCCCCCCCCACCAACTGCATTCAGTCATCCTGTCTCCTTAGTCTTGTCTTTCGCCATGACCTTGATATTTTTGAGTGCTTCTGAGTACTTATTTTGTTGAATGTCCCTCACTTGGGGTTTGTCTGAGATTTTCTCAGGATTGGATTACATAAGACATCACAGGGGTGACGGTGAGTCCGTGTTGCTGTCTGGCGGCAGAGGGTTCTCGATGTGGGTGTGGTCGATCAGTGTGGGCGTGGTCGGTGATGTTGACCTTCATAGTGAGGTTCAAGGAGAAGACTGATGAGTTTCTCCACGGTGCAGTTTTTATGCTTTCCTTTGTAGCTAGTAAATTTTTTTAAGTCCATTAATTTTTAATATAAAGGTATAGTGGGCTACTAAAAATACAATACTTTTAAAAACAAAAAAAAATGTACAGTGGATGTTACATTTTAGTTGACCTCATTCATTCTATAAAAATACTAAGAGTAGGGCCTCCCTGGTGGCTCGAGGGGTTAAGACGCAACCTATGAAGCTATCGGCAGCCACTGCAGCGTGAGTTCGATCCCTGGCCAGGGAGCTACCACATGGCGCAGCAGACCTCTCTTGACTCGCCCGCTGCTCCCCTCAGCAGTGTATTTCACTCAATCTGCCTCTTCTGTTCCCCGCTCTGTCTCTGGTGAATTCTCTCACCACCCCCCACACTTCTGGCCTGTACCCCAGTTCTTGTATGCATAAATAAATAAATTTAATAAAAAAATACTAAGAGTAGTTTTAAAGCAGTGGTTATGAGCAACAACAAAAAAATTATTATTACAACCAAAGTTTTTATTGATACTAAGACTATGTGGTTAGTGAATATCTTGCACATTATATTTCTCCCGGAACTTGTGCCCACTAATTTCAGCATCTGTAAGTGGATCTTGTCTGCCACAACTAGTGTGGTGTTCGCCTAATTATGACTTTTACATTTCCTAATTTCCTCTCTCCATCTAATTGAAATTTTAAGGAAGCCCTTCTAAGGAAGGGCTGACTCTCCTCCCACCATTTATTTGTTTGTTTATTGTATGTTTCCATAGGTCTAGACTCCATGGATTTTATTCCCTGGGTTATCATTTTTTTAAAAAGATTTATTTATTTATGCAAACAAGAGCTGGGGTACAGGCCAGAGATGTGGGGAGTGAAAGGATTCACCAGAGACAGAGTGGGGAGCAGAACAGGCGGACTGACTGAAGTACACTGCTGAGGGGAGCAGCGGGTGAGACAGGAGAGGTCTGCTGCGCCATGTGGGTAGCTCCCTGGCCGGTCGGGGATCCAACTCGTGCTGCAGAGGCTGAAGATTGCTTCATAGTGCAGTGCTTAACCCCTTGTGCCACAAGGAAGGCCCTGGGTTATCATTTTTTATCTTGTGGCTCAAATGATCCTGGATTTGGTCTTTGGATTTGGGTTCTTCAACCATCATTTCTTGAGCTCTGCCTCACCTGCAGGTACCACACGTTATTCCAGGCTTATCTTGTGTATTTCCTGTTCCATATCTGGAATCATTCACTTTTCCAAGAAGCTTGGTTCTTTCCATCAGAGAATGGGGATTTAGAAACTTAGATCTGAATCAATATAATTTCTGCTCTGGCAAGATACAAGGCTCCTGCCCACCTGAGACTGGCAGGTGCCTCTTTTTCTTTCTCCTTTTCCTAATAAGGCTGTCCTTTCAAAATGTAAAAAAACAAACCAAGAAAAAAGAAGCTATGATCCGAGCGCTGGGTGTGCTTGTAGCTACTGAGGCGTGAGAGCTTCCAGCCTTGCTCACAGACACAGATGGGTTCTGTGTATGTGTCGAGAGAGAGAGCCCTGAATCCTAACTACTGTCCATCAAGACCTCCCATGGGTGCTGCTGATATGCCTCACTCACCTGTATTTCTGTATCTGTGAGTTCCTACTTGGGCCTCTGATGTCAGTCCTTCAAGGCAGTAACTTTTTCCTCCAGTATTGAGAAGCCTCACTCCTGTCTCACAATGGACTTCATTCAGTGCTAGGAGAGGCATCAAATGGTTTTAGAGTCGCCTACCAGCATCCCCGTGAGAAGTGCAGACTCAACAGTGGCGCTTCTGTCCTTCCTCTTTGGAGTCTTACCGCATCATTATTTCCCACAGTGACTTTCTCCCCACCCCTGTCAATGTGACCACCTTGTTCATTTTTTAGTATATTTATGTAATTTGTTAGTGTTTATACTCCACGCCACTTCCCTCCCCACTGCCACACACATATATCCTGGGTGGTTTTAATTGTTAATTTATTTTGAGGGAGTGTGAAGGAAGTCAGCAGCATTACTTTAGTAATAGCAGTCAGAGAGACTCAGATAAGGGTCCTCCTCATTCCTCCAACTCCCTTCCTACCCCTCTTACTAACCCTTTCCTGCCCACCCCAGCTACACAATCCATCTCTTCAGTTTCAGTACCCAGTTTTTACAAATGAGCACATATCTGGGTCTTTTCTTATATCCTCCCCCATGAAGAGTGGCTGACAAGAGATGCTCTCCTGTACTTTGTTTTTGTCTTTCTTTTTTTAAAAGATATATTTATTTATGCAAACAAAAACTGGGGTACAGGCCAGAGGTGTGGGGTATGAGAGGATTCACCAGAGACAGAGTGGGGAGCAGAACAGGTGGGCTGACAGAAATACACTGCTGAGAGGAGCAGTGGGTGAGACAGGAGAGGTCTGCTGCGCCATGTGGGCCAGCGCCCTGGTTGGGAAGTGAACTCGTGCTGCAGTGGCTGTGCACAGTTTCACAGTGCTGATAGCTTCATAGTGCTGCATTCCAACCCCCTGTGCCACCAGGGAGGACCCTGTACTTTGCTTTTTTCATAGTGCTGCATCCCAACCCCCTGTGCCACCAGGGAGGACCCTGTACTTTGCTTTTTTCTTAGCAGTATGGTCTGGACATTCCATATAAGTGCCAAGATCTTGTCCTCTTTTTGACAGCTGCATAGTACTCCGCACAATGGGTATGATGCCGTTTATCCATCCATTCCCTCCCATGTGTGGACGTTTCGGTTTGGTTTCTGCATTTTGCAGTCACACACATTGCTGCAAGGGACAACCTTATGTGGATGCATTGGCCCATTGCTGGAGTAAGCACTTATGCTCTTAACATTACACTGTACCACAGGGTATTTTTAAAACCTTGATTTGGTTGCTAACACTTATGACTCTGAAGCTATCTCTTGAAAGTATGGATTTGTCTACCTATATCCTGGGATTCAAAAACACCACATAAAGAATGGAAGTTGAGGGCCTCCCTGGTGGCGCAGGTGGTTGAGCACCGTGCTGTGAAGCTGTCTGCAGCCTCTGCAGCGCGGGTTCGATCCCGGACGGCCGTGAGAATCCCACATGGTGCAGCAGACCTCTCCTGTCTCGCCCGCTGCTCCCCTCAGCAGTGTATTTCCTCAGTCTGCCTGTTCTGCTCCCCACTCTGTCTCTGGTGAACCCTCTCACCCTCCCGTGCATCTGGCCTGTACCCCGGTTCTTGTATAAATAAATCTTTTAAAAAAAAAGAATGGAAATTGACAGATAGTGGCAGCTATCACTGAATAGGTGACTGCCCCTTTTAGATTCTACAGAGGCTACTGTTTGCCACACATTCCACCACTCCCTGCTGCCTCACTCCTTACAAATGAACTTTGTCCCTGTTTCTATTACCTAACTGGCCTCTAGACACCTGAGTTTACAACCCCTCAATGATATCATGTATATAAAAAATGTTTGCCACAAGGCCTGCACACAATAAATAATGATATTAATAATAGTATCCATTCTCTTCTATAACCCTCACTATCATTGTTCAGGGAGACAATCTTGTTCATCTGACAATTTCTTTATTGTGTGGCTGTCACAGAGTGTAATCACACAAACCTGGATGGTGCAGGGTACCCCACATCTAGGCTGGATGGTATCACCTGCTGGGACTGCTGCGTATCTGTGGTCTGTCATTGACTGAAGCATCATTAAGCAAGGCAGGACTGTGCGAGGCACTGTTTCAAGTGGTTTTTTTTTCTTTATTTTTAAGATTTATTTATTTATGCATACAGGCCAAAGGTGCAGGGGGTGAGAGGATTCACCAGAGACAGAGCGGGGAACAGAGCAGGCAGACTGACTGAAATACACTGCTGAAGGGAGCAGCGGGCGAGACAGGAGAGGTCTGCTGCACCATGTGGGTAGCCCACTGGCCGGGAATCAAACTTGTGCTGCAGAGGCTGTGGACAGCTTCACAATGCGGTGCTTAACCCCTTGCATCACCAGGGAGGCCTCAAGTGTTTTTCTTGTATTGATTCAGTTAAGCCTCGTGGCAACACTATAGGGTAAACACTATTATTATTCCACTTTCCAGATAAGGAAGCTGAGGATCAGTTAGGCAAAGCCACTTCTTGTCCAAGGAAAGTGGAAGTGGTGGTGGTGGCGGGGGGGGGGGGGGGGGGGGGGGTCAAACTTGAGTAGCTCCAGAACCTGGGTCCTTAACTACCGAATATTCCCGAGTCTCTCACTCTCGAGGTATTGCCCTCCCTCTGCCCCTGCCCAGCCTCAATGCCCGGTCCCCTCCGTCTCTTTCTCCCCAGGGGAGCCAGGCTCCATGACTGTGACCTGGACCACCTGGGTCCCAGCCCACTCAGAAGTGCAGTTCGGGCTGCAGCCGTCAGGACCCCTGCCCTTCCGGGCCCAGGGCGCCGTCAGTCCATTCGTGGATGGGGGCATCCTCCGGCGGAAGCTCTACATGCACCGAGTCACGCTGCGGGGGCTGCTGCCCGGGGTCCAGTATGGTGAGAGGGTCCCGGGTTGAGGTGGGGGGGACAGGAAGAGAAATGGACTAGAAGCTACTACCCCTGGGAGGCTCAGGCGGGGCTGGTGATGAGCCCCTGGGATGAAAATAAGGCAGTGGAAGGAGGTGGGTACCTGGGGTGAGGCGGACAGGACAGGGGTCCAGGTCAGGTCACTGACTGCCCCACCAGTGGAAGTGGGGTGGAGGGGAGGCCCTGCGCACACCCTGCTGATCATGACCTTCCCCCCTAGTTTACCGCTGCGGCAGTCCTCAGGGCTGGAGCCGGCGCTTTCGCTTCAGGGCCCTGAAGAATGGGCCCCACTGGAGCCCCCGACTGGCTGTGTTTGGGGACCTGGGGGCTGACAACCCAAAGGCCCTGCCCCGGCTGCGCAGGGATGCTCAGCAGGGAATGTACGATGCTGTTCTCCATGTGGGTGAGCCACTGGCGAGGGTGCACCTAAAGGAACCCAGGGGGCGGGTGGAGGCCGCACAGGAGGATGGGGGTTCGGGCCAGTGTGGTTATGAAGGGGTGGGGGTGCTGGTGTGAGGTGATGAGAATAGCTCGGATGGTGTCTGGTCAAGCCAAAATCCTGATTTGGATGCTTAGAACCCCTCACGCTGCTTTTCTCCTGGGGATTAATACGGTTCAAGCTGCTGCTCCCTCAGAATTCCTAGGACAGTTGTGGAGAAATCGGTCGGCACAGCCTGGGGTGTTGTGAGCGCTACGTGAGTGTGAGTTGTGACTGGTGCTGCTGTTGTGAGTTGAGGGGACAGGGAATGAGACGGTGCATAGAGATGGCCGTGGGGGCACCCATGGTTCAAAAACTCGGGACTCCCAGACTTTGATTTCCGGTCTTCATTCACCAGCCCTGTGACCTCTGGTGAGCACTTTACCCCGCTGGACCTCAGTTTCCCCATCTGTCGTGGGGATAAGATGAGGCCCATGTCGGAGGGTGATTTGAAGGTCCAGGTGATTAAACATGGAGAGCAGTTGGTGCCTGGTACCAAACCAGTCCCACCTTATGCAGCTGTTCTGGGAGGGGGCTGGGTGGGGGGCAGAGGTGGGCGTTGCTGTGGTCAGGGCCCAGGGCCCTAGCATGCTGCTGCATGGGTCCCGGTGACCAGAGTTTCAGGAAATGATTCCAAGTGTACATCCACGTGGGTGTGAGGTAGGGATCTGAGAACCTGAGGGCCCAGAGGCCAAGGTGTGCTCAGCTCACACCTGAGCCACCAGGTCTCTCAATTCTGGGTGCTCACTCTCTCCCTGCCCCTCCCCGGCCACTCCCCATGCCCCAGGAGACTTTGCCTACAACATGGATCAGGACAATGCTCGCGTCGGGGACAGGTTCATGCGACTCATCGAACCCGTGGCCGCCAGCCTGCCCTACATGACCTGTCCTGGGAACCACGAGGAGCGCTAGTGAGGGGCGGGGCCTGGGGTTTGGGGGCGGGGCCTCAGGGACCTCAGGGGCGGGCCAGTCAGTGGCAATGGACTTGTCCTTCCTATTAGAGTCCTACCTTAGTTCCTCACAATGCATGGTCCTTTGTGGTGGTGAGAAAAGAGAGGAGGGAGGAGCCAGACTCGGGGTCTGATGGAGGGAAGATGGGGGGCACCCAGACCCTCCCCTCCAACCATTTTTCTTCTTTTTATCCAGCAACTTCTCCAACTACAAGGCTCGCTTCAGCATGCCAGGGAACAACGAAGGGCTGTGGTACAGGTAATGCTAAAGCAGGGGCTTGGGGAATTGGCTTCCTGCCCCTTAAGGACAGGGGATGCTGAGGAGGCCCCTCTCTGACCCCTGCCCTTTGCCTCCCCCCCCCCAGTTGGGATGTGGGCCCCGCGCACATCATCTCCTTCTCCACTGAGGTCTATTTCTTCCTCCATTACGGCCGCCACCTGGTAGAGAGACAGTTCCACTGGCTGGAGAGTGACCTGCAGGTAAACTCGGGTCCCCTGTAGCCCCTGGGGCCTGCCTCCCCACCCCGGCTCCTGCCTTCCTCACTTCCCTCCAGTCGGTCACTCAGGCGCTCTCTCTAGAAAGCCAACAAGAACAGGGCCAGCCGGCCGTGGATCATCACCATGGGGCACAGGCCCATGTACTGTTCCAATGCTGACCTGGACGACTGTACCCGGCACGAAAGCAAGGTGAGGACCCTCCTGGGGTGGCGCTGAGAGCCTGGCCTGCAGGCAGCCCAGTCACCCCTCCCGTTCTCTGCTTCCTGCCCAGGTGCGCAAAGGCCTCCAAGGCAAGTTCTTTGGGCTGGAGGACCTTTTCTACAAGTATGGTGAGTGACCCCCAGCCCAGGCCTGCCCCCCGGCCCTTGGGGATCCAGGGGCCTTACCCCCCGCTCTTGCTCTGTCTCAGGGGTCGACCTGCAGCTGTGGGCTCACGAGCACTCGTATGAGCGACTGTGGCCGATCTACAACTACCAGGTGAGGTGCAGGATGGCCCGAGGGCCTGCACGACTGGGGTCAGTCGACCCTGGTCAGGCCCCCTGGCATGATAGATGTGACCACTCCTAACCCTGACCTTGACCGTAACCCACCCCTGTCCCTTCTTCAGGTGTTTAACGGCAGCTGGGAGACACCCTACACCCACCCCCGAGGTCCTGTCCACATCATCACAGGATCTGCTGTAAGCAGCCTGGGACGGGACCCTGGCTTCTCTTCTCTGGCTCTCTGCTGAGGGAGACCTGGTGCCAGCTGGAGGTTTATACTGTCACCAGCACTAAGTCTCCACCCGGGAGGTCAGGTGCTTGGTCACGTGCCCATTGCACAGATGCAGAAACAGAGGCTCAGATCGCAGATAACTCATCAAAGTCACAAGGGCACTGAATGGTGGGGTGGGGTGGGGGCTGGCCTGGTCTGCTGACAGGCCCAGAGCACAGGGTTTATATCATTACAGCCCCAAGCAGACGCTACAGAAACGACTTAGCTGTCATAGGAATCCACAAGGTATTTATAATCTCTCACTGGCTGTGTAGTTCCTTGTCTTTTATCCTTGATACATTTGAAGACGCCTGGCCAGTGGTGTTTGCAGAAGGCCCCTCGATCCGGCTTTTGTGCATTGTCTCACACTAAGATTCACCTCATGCGTACTGGGCCAGACAGCTGCAGGGTGCCATGGCCTCAGTGCCAGAGGGTGCAATTATTATAGGCTCTCTCTTTTTTTTTAAAGATTTATTTAGAGGCGCGGGAGAATGAGAGGATTTACCAGAGACAGAGCAGGGAAAAGAACAGGCAGACGGACTGAAAGCATTGCTGAGAGGAGCAGCAGGCAAGGCAGAAGAGGTCTGCAGCACCATGTGGGAATCTCCCTGGCTGGCCGGGAATTGAAACCGTGCTGCAGAGACTGCAGACAGCTTGACAGCACTATGCTCAACCCGCTGCACCACAGGGGAGACCCCTATAGGCTCTTTTTAATGTATAAATATCTTGGGGGAGAGACTTTCAGGTCTCGCTCATGTCCTCTTTTTCCTCACACTTTCAGTCAGTAATGTTTGAATCGCACAGTGGGTCTTGTCTTCTGGGAACTCCTATTGCCATCATCCCTGCTAGATCTATTCACTAGCTGCCTCCTGTGCCGATGAGTTCTCCCTTGCACCCCATTTCTTTGGTCAGTTGGTTATTGACTCAGGCCTATGTGAATGCATGGCTAATTAATTTCATCCTATGGGTTAGAATTCAGTACTACTGTCACTGCTCTGCTGATCAATTGCTCCACTAGGGTCCCCAGAACTCTCCGGGCTGGCTCCTGTGTCCTCTCAATGTGCCACGTTGTCAGGGTCCCCAGGAGCATTTTGTATTTGCCCTGCCCCAGCCTTGGCATCTGTCCCTTCGACAAGGGGAGAGGGCTAATTTTTTAAGCTCAGTCTTACAAATTAGTCAGAACCACTTGTGATCAAAATTCAAACTGTACAGGACCTCCCTGGTGGCCTACAGGTTAGGTCTCAGTGCTATCACCGATAAAGCCTGAGTTCAATCCCCAGCCAGGGAGATACCCACATGGCGCAGCAGACCTCTCCTGACTCTCCTGCTGCTCCCCTCAACACTGTATTTCAGTAGATCCACCTGTTCTCCCCACTCTGTCGCTGGTGAATCCTCTCACCCCCCGCACTTCTGGCCTACACCCCAGTTCTTGTATGCAGAAATAGAGAAATCTAAAAAAAAATCAGACTGTACAGAGGGAGAAGGTGAACACCAGCTGTCTGCACCTCTTCATGGCCCCATTCTCCAGTGTCCTGCCTCTTGAGTGGCCTTTAAAAAATGTTTTGTGCAGCTACCAGGGAGCCGCTGTCTTGATGGAGATGTGTGGCTGCATTGCCTGCTGGTAAAAGCAATTTGGATCATGATTCAGAGCCTGGTGTGTCTCAATCTTGGGGCGTGTTAGCATTACCTGGGGAGGCTTGAAAACTCCAGTGCCTCCAACTCCAATGAAAACTCCAAACACTGGGGTCTCTGAGGGTGACCCCTGGCATTGCCTGTCTCTGTGCAGCCAACACTGGGGGCAGGAGTAGAATGTCACCCGCCCCAGATGATGCCTCTAGCACATAGGTGAGTGCTATTCTGACCTTTCTCAGCACGGATTAGGTTTTTTGTATTTTTTTTTTTTTGAATTTTGAAATTATCTCAATGGACAGAAAAGCTGCAAAAGGAATACAAAGGCTTTCCATCTCTTCTTTACCAGGATTTCCCAAATGTGGACATTTAACCACATTTGGTTTAATCTCTGATTCTCTCACCTCTGCTTCTAGGTAAATATATTATTATTGTTACTATTATTATTTTCAGATCAAAGAAGAGTAAGTTGCAGGGTAATTTTTTTTTAAAGATGTATTTATTATGCACACAAGAACTGGAGTACAGGCCAGAGGCCAGAGGTGTGGGGGGTGAGAGGATCCACCAGAGACAGAGTGGGGAGCAGAACAGGCACTATACACTGCTGAGGGGAGCAGCAGGGAGACAGGAGAGGTCTGCTGAGTCATGTGGATAGCTCCCTGGCCGGGGATCAAACTCGTGCTGCAGTGGCCACAGAAGTCTTCATAGTGCTGCACCTAAACCCCTTGCGCCGCCAGAGAGGCCCCTGCAGGGTGATTCTTACAGTGTAAAATCTAAAGCCAGTAGTTAACATTGCTCACATGGCGTCACCTAATCTACAAACCTCACATTTAACCAGCGCCCCGTTCATGTCCTTTCAATCAAAGCAAGGACTTCTTTTCTTGGCCCAGATGTGAGTCTAAGAATACAGGTTCTATTCGGGTGTCTTGTCTCTTTAGCTTCCTTTCATCAGAAACATTTCCCCACTCTTGTTTCATTTATCCTGACCTTGAAACACTTGAAGAGTACAGCAAAGTGGCTTTGTAGACGAGCCCTCAATTTGGCCTGATATTTGCTTGTGATTAGATCGAAGTTACGCATTTTGGTAAGAATCCACAGAAGTGATACCGTGTTCTTCTCCATGCACCTGTAGCCGTGTGCCCCGGAAGCTTCAGTTTCCCCTTGTGCGCACGAGGTGTTGACCTGTCTCATTACTCATAATGTCCACTTTGATCAGCTGGTTAGAGGGGTGTCTGGCCACTCTCCACCAGAGTTTCTCTTTTCTGCTTTGTAGTTGACAAGATACTTGTTCAGATCCTTTTTGTAATTAGCACGTGTCTCCTGGAAAGCTACTCTGAGACTATGTAAATATCTTGTCCTCCCGCCAGCTTTCACCCCTTGTCTTACCATCCACCGATGATTCTTGCTTCTATCAGTTTGGTGTTTTTTTCCCAGCTCCCTCGTCTTCTCTGCTCATTTGGCCTAACTTTCTACCACGCTAATGAGTAGCCCCTGTCCTGCAGGCGTGGGTGATTTTTAAAAGCATTCTGACCCACTTATTTCCTCTAGCCTGTGAGTTGTCATTTCCCCTTAACAGTCCATCTTGGCCATCTTTCTGCATTACCCTGCTTTGTGCTGGCCATTCTATAATCTATATGTTTATTTATAAAAGATTTATTTATTTATGCATACAGGAACTAGGGTGTAAACCAGAGGTGTGAGGGGGTCAGAGGATTCACCAGAGACAGAGTGGGGAGCAGAACAGGCAGACTGACCGAAATACACTGCTGAGGGGAGCAGTGGGTGAGACAGGAGAGGTCTGCTGCGCTATGTGGGTAGCTCCCTGGCTGGGGATCGCGCTCATGCCCCAGTGGCTGCTGATAGCTTCATAGTGCTGAGACTTAACCCCTTGTGCCACCAGGGAGACCCTATTCTATAATTTATTTAACTGACTCTCATTGATGGGCTCTTGGGTGGCTTCCAGCTCAAGGCTTTTACAGAAACTTCTACAATGAAATCTCATCCAGACCTCAAAGGCAGGGGCACAGTCAGCCCAGCTGGGTCAAAACACTCAATTGTGAGCCTCATCGAGGCCAAATCTAAACCAACTGTCTTCCTCGGGGGCAGCAGGGCTGACCCAGCAGTCTTCATTTTAGAATACATACTCATTGAACGAAGACTCTTCTGCCTTCCTGCGGGTCCTCTGCCTGCCCCAGGCCCGGGTCTGAGCAGTTGTCTCCGGCAGGGCTGCGAGGAGCTGCTGACCCCCTTCACCCTCTTCCCGAGGCCCTGGAGCGCCGTGCGGGTGAGAGAGTATGGGTACACGCGGCTCCACATCCTCAACGGGACCCACGTCCACATCCAGCAGGTGTCAGATGACCAGGTAGGTCAGCAGGGGTGGCACCAAGGTGTTGGGGCCTCATGGTTAAAATGTGGACCCTGGAACAGGAAATCCTGGGTTCCAATTCTGCCTCTGCTTCTTACCAGCTGGATGACCTCACGCTACCCATTGAACCTCATTGAGCCACAGTTTCCCCATCTGTGAAATGGGGATGACAGTAGTTTCTGTCTCACAGGATGATATAGGGGGTGGATGACTTAGTATATGTAACGTGCTTAGAACAGTTTTGGAAACACATAAATTTTCAAGGTATTTATCAGCATGAAGGAGGGGAAGAAAAAAGAGGGTGGTATAATGTGTGTGTGGGGGACGGGTGATTTAAGGTTAGATGGCCCCAAATAATCAGGCCTCACTTTTCTTTATTATTGCCATTTAATTTTAAGATAATGATAGCTATGATTTATTGATCACTTGCTATGTACCAGATGCTGGATTCGACACTTTATTAGAACTGACACAACAATCCTGTAGGTGTCGATTATCTTTCCATTTGCAAATGAGAGAGCTGAGGTTCAGAGAGGGCAAGTAATTTTCCCGGGGTCACACAGCCAAAGGCTGGCAAAGCTGGGATCTCACCCCAAAGACTAGGTTATTATTATTTTTTTAAAGATTTATTTATTTATTTATTTATGCAAGCACTGGGTACAGTCAGAAGCGTGGGAGGGTGATGCTATGTGGGACCCTCGCCCGGAGGCCAGGGATCGAGCCGGTGCTGCAGAGGCTGTGGGCAGCTTCGCAACCCAGCACTCAACCGCTGCACCACCAGGGAGGCCCAAGACTAGGTTATTTTTATGACATGTAACCATTTGCAGAGTGGGACACACACCAGGGCAGGCTTTTCTTACTCATTATTTCATTCAGTTCCCCCTGGTTTGTGGAATATTCTCCCTGGTTTATGGAATATGGAAGTTAGGGTTAGAGTCTCTGATCACATGCATAAGGCCCCATGGGGAGTGGCTGTGCTGGGATATTAAGCAAGGTTCCACCTGACTCTGGGGTTTGCTCTAAAATAGTAGGATTGTGGGGCCTCCCCTGGTGGTGCAGCTGTTGAGCACTGGGCTGCGAGGCTGCCTGCAGCCTCTGCAGCACTGGTTCATTTCCTGGCTGCCGGCGAGGGTCCCACAAAAAAAAAAAAAATAAAATAGTAGGGCCCTACACTCACACAATCCTTGCCATTTGCTGCCTTCCCTTTCAGCCTTTCCAAACATTCCATTTAATCCCCACACCATCTGAGAGGTAGGGACTGTTACTGCCATTACCACCGCTCAGATGAGAACTGAGAGAGGTCTGACAGCTGGCCCAAGGCCACACAGCCCATCAGAGAGAGGTAGAGCTGGGGTTTGAGCTCTTACCCCACATTCTGGGCTTTTAGTCCTCATGACTTTCTCTGGTTTCATTCCTTGTAGGATGGGAAGATTGTGGATGACATCTGGGTGGTGAGACCCTTGCTCGGCCGGATGATGTACCTCTAGGGACGGGGGCAGTCCTTATTAGAAACCAGGTCTTGCTGCCTTGGTTGGTATGCCCAGACACTGCTCTTTGGGGAGTCAGGGCAGGCCTTGACTCCCCCGCCTTCCTGAGCCCCGCCCCCTTTGCGTGGGGCAGCTTTCCCCTCCTGGAGAGGTGGACCTCTGGCTGACTGTGCTGGGAGGACAGGTGTGCTGGCACAGAGTGAGGCGGGCTAGGTCCTGGGTGCACAGCCCTGCCCTCCTGCATAGCAGCGACTGGGCCGGGTGCCCACGGCCTCAGGAATAAAGAGGCTTCTAGTTACGGCTCCGTGGACTCTGCACTTCTACTGGGGATGCCTCCTGTGTACCCCCGGACCTTGTGGGGAGATGTGAGAAGCATCACCAGTGCCGAATCACGCAGCGGGGGCTGAGCTGCCATGACGCCACTGTCCAGCAGGGGGCGTCAGTGACTTTCTCACCCTGGGCTGGCCCTAGGCCAGTGGTCCCCATAACCCAACGTATGTCACCTGTGTCCCTTCGTGCCTCAGTTTCCCAGCCTGGCACTGACTTATCTGGATGGGGCAGCTGAATAGCCCGAAGAGCTCACAAGTCTGCCGGTTTCCTCCTTCCTCTCCTTCCCTCTTCATTTATTCAGCCTTTATTCATTGGGCCCCTCCGTGTACTGCTGTGAACAAGACCGAGATCTCTTTCCGCATGGGGTTGACATTCTACCTGGGCGTCAGCCAGCAAACCCAATCAATCAGTAAAGTACACAAAGGGTAAATACTGATAAGTGCTCAGAAAAAGCAGGGGACAGGAAGGGGACAGGAAGGGGCCAGGGTGGCCAGGGAGACCTCACTGAGAAGGTGGCTTCTGATCTGAAGGGGCCTGAGGGAGGAGCTCCGTGGGCAGAGCCTTCCAGGCAGAGGAACAGCCAGTGCAAAGGCCCTGGGACAGGAACGTGCCTGCCCTGTTGCAATATCAATGAGGGGACCGGTGTGGCTGGAGCAGACAGGTGAGCACAGGCAGGTGAGGGCAGGCAGGTGATGGGGCAGATGGCATAGGGCCTCTTGGAGAGTGGGCCGTGTCTTTACCATGGCTGAGATGGAGCCACAGGAGTGCTTTGCACAGGTGACACACGTGATGTGATCCTAGGAGTTCTAGGCAAAGGTCAAGCTCTGGCCCCAGGACTGAGGGGTCCTCCCTCAGGGAAGCCTGGGGGTCTCAGCCCTATGGCTGACATCACCTCTGTTGCTGTCCAGCTTCGGCCTCCTCACAGCTTGTTCCCACACATACCCCCCCCTTTCAGCCCAAGGTTCTCTGCTCCTTGAGTTTCTAAAAGCTGCTTTCTCACAGCAGGCGTGTTTGTCTCTGAGGCCATTTGGGCTGGCTCCTTGTTCACCTCAGGCCTCAGCCTTCCCTGAGCAGCTAACATGGCCACAGTCGCTCCACCCCATCCTATTTAGCTTCATTTCTAGCTCTTAGTTGCTGCAATTCTTTCATTACTTTTCTTATTAAGTTGTTCAGGGTGGCCTGTCCCCAGGGCGGGGAGTCCAAGGCCACCTTGTTCATTCATGAGTCCGTCACCGCCAGATCCCTTCCCCTGGCTGGGTGGGGGCCCTGGGCTCTCCCCATCCCATCCCCCACCCCCTGCCCATTCTGGGCCATCACCATCGGGAGGTGGGTCTGTCTCCCCCACCGGATTGTCAACCCAGGAGGGCGGTGCCCAGGGCCCGCCCCAGCACAAGACAGATGCTTAATAAATATTTGTTGCCTTAATGGAGGCCGGTACATGCCAGGCTCCAGCTGGGCAACTCAGAACAGCGATGACTCAGCTCTGGCCATGCCCCATGGGAGGCAGGGAACACGGTTACCCAACATAATGACAAGCGATGTGGGAATGCCCTGGAAGGATGCTCGGAGCCCCTGGAGTCTCCAGCTGGGGGCCGCCCAGTGCACACTGCAGGCAGAGACAGCTGGTAGCCAAGAGGGCAGCTCGTTCTGCCCGAGGTTGTGGGGGAGACTGAACATCCCGGGGTGGGTTCCACGGAGTGCACTGGAACTAAGCACTGGGGCCAGCCAGCCTGTGGGCACAAATCTCAGCTCTGGCATCAGAATGTGAGGTCCTAGTGCTGCTGCTGGTTCTGTGCACCCTGCAGCCTCAGTACCTGGTAATCCAGTAACATAGTAGTTGCTCAATTAAATGGGAAGGGGGAGGGGAGGGAAATAAGGAGAGGGAGGGGGGAGGCTCGGCACAGCACCTGTTTCTTCCCTGCTCTCCAGTCGACCAACACTGACGCTCAGAGAGCGGTTAGCAAATGGCTCGTCCTATGAGACTCAAGTCGCTGGTCCTCTCAGGACCCCCGCTTCTTCCTCTGTAACAGAAGAATGATGGTGGATACTTTGTGAGGTGGCCTTGGCATTAAATGAGGTGGAAATCCTGGGTGTTGTCCTTGACTCTTTTCCTTTTCGTGTCCCATATTCAATTAGCTGGTAAATTCTGTTGACATTGCCTTGAAAATCCACCTAGAGTTTGTCTCCTTCCCCCACCACCACGGCCCCCACCCTGGTCCTGTCCCCGCCGTTTCTCACCCCCTGCTTGGTCTCTGCCCTCCCCTCCCCCAGTCTGCTCCCCAAATGCAGCCGAAGGGTCCTGTCCCCTCGGGTCCCTCCCCTGCCTGAACCCTCCAGTGCCTCATCTCCCTGGGCTAAAACCCAGTGTCCTCCCAATGTCCACCCCACACGATCCGCCCGCCTCCCTCCTGCCCTCATCGCCCACAACTCACCCCTTGTCCGCTCCGCTGCAGTCACACTGGCCTCAGACAGCAGGACCCCCATACCCCACTGTCCCCCCACACCCCACTGACCGGGCCCTCACCCCTGGTACCCACGTGGCTCCCTTTCCCCCTCCTTCAGGTCTTTGCTCTAATCTCCCCTATCCTGACCACCTTGTTAAGACAGCACCCCCACTTCTTCCCTCACCCGCTTTCCCCCTCTGTCCTCCTTCAGTCCCTCGGACGCGGCGGCCTACTGGATGGCTACGTGCTCCATCACTTAGCCTTTATCTCCCTCAGAATGTGAGCTCCCAGGTGCATCTGCTGGCTCTGTTCTCCCTGCAGCCCCAGAACCCAGTCACCCCGTAACATAGCAGTTGCTCAGTGAACAAGGCATGGCGGAAGGAAGGAACCATACAGGTAAAATGCTCAGCACAGCACCTGACGCCGAGGGAGCCGGGAACAAATAGCAGGGATGACTGTGATTTGGGTGAATCGTGTGAAGGCTCAGCCCTTGTGGCTCCCACTGCCGGGCACACAGGAGACGGGCACAAAGGGCTGATTGCGACATTGTGATAAGTGACAAGCACCGGAAGGGGCAGCTGGCGGGGCCTGGAGACGCTGAGGCTTCTGGGAGGCGAGGCTGAGGTAGGCCCTGCTAACACTGGCCTGGTGGGCTGGGGAGGGAGTAAGACGGTGGTCAGGAGAGCAGCAGGGCTGTGGAATCTTTCAGCACCAAATGCTTCTTTCTGAAAGTGCTTCATTGCTCAAATCAGCCAGGAGCGGCTTCTGTTGATTGCAACTAGAAACCACGAAGGAACTTTGCACCTTCTGGGAACCACACATTGGAGATAACATGGGGGCCAAGAGGACGTTTCTGTTTTTGAATTTTGAAGCTTGATTCTGCTGGAGAAGGGAGAGAAGTCACCATGGGCGCTGTGAAGAAAATACGCTTGAAGTGTAGGACAGTAAATGGTAATATAGATGTGTGCAGGAAGGCGTCGCCGACGAAGGCGTCTTTTGATATTGCAACCAAAGGAGTTTTAGGTAAAGACCTAGAAGAGAGCTTCCCTGGTGGCACAGGGATCAAAGACAGTGCTATCAAGCTATTGCCAGCCACTGCAGCACGAGTTCGGTCCCCGGCCAGCCAGGGAGCAACCCACATGGTGCAAAGGACCTCTCCTGTCTTGCCCACTGCTCCCCTCAGCAGTGTGTTTCAGTCATTCTGCCTGTTCTGCTCCACACTCTGTCTCTGGTGAATCCCTCACTCCGCGCACCTCTGGCCTACACCCCAATTCTTGTATGCATAAATAAATTCTTAAAAAAAAAGACCTAAATGAGCCATCCAGGCAAAAGGATCAGCAGGTTCAAAGGCCCTGAGGCAGGACTGAATTTATGTGAGAAACATAAACAACAAACCGGCTCTCAGTTACCTTAAATTAGATTTGCCTTCCCAGAATGCTGCGCGAGAGTATATAGCCTTTTGAGACTGGCTTCTCTTGCTGATGCTAATGCATTTGCAAATCCATCGGTGCCATCCTGCAGATCAGGCATTCCCCTTTTTTTTTTTTTTTATTGCCAAGTATGTTTCCAGGAAAAGGATACACAGCAAGTTATTTATCTGTTCTCCAGTCGATGAACATTTTGGGTTGTTTCCAGTTTGGGACAATTAAGAAAATGACGGCTGTGAACATCCCTGGCCCAGTCATTGTGTGAATATATGTTTTCATTTCCTGTGAGTAAATACCTAGGAGTGGGATTGCTGGGTCCTATGTCTTCCACATTCCTTTGATGGTGGCATGGGCGTATCTCTGACACATTTTGAACTCTGCTCATCATCTTATTCTATGTATTTACTTATTCATGTGTTTATTATCTCTGAAAAGGAAGTAGAATGTTTTGGAGCGTAGACCCTGAAGTTAGGCTGCCTGTGTGGCTTTGGAGAAATTACTTAACCTCTCTGGGCCTCAGTCTGCACATCTGTAGAAGGGGGAGGACAATTGTACATAGGATTGTTGGGGGGTTTAAAAAGAGGTTGTATGTGTAAAGGGCTTAGTAGGATCTGTTGGATAGAAAAGGCTCAATAAATGTTTGCAATTATCATCAGTCAACAGGCTTGGCACACAGATGGCATTCAGTGAGTATATTTATTAAATGAAGTTGAACAGCCTTTAAATACATCAGCTTTGAAGTCAGATGTCCTAGTTCAAATTCCAGCAAAGCTGCTTATGGATGGTAGAACTTGGTTCCACTTCCCTGCCTGCTTCAGTTTCCTCCTCTGTTGGGGATGGGGCTGTGCCTGGGGACTAAGGACCCATCTAATAGAGAAGGGGGGAGGATTAGGTGAGATTAGGGATAGGTAAAGTGTTCAGAGCGAGTCCTCCATAGCAAGCAATGCAAAATCTGGAAGCAACCTAAATGTGCAACAATTTGTTAAATATGACACATCAATCGTTTGAAAACAAGATGAGGGCCTCCCTGGTGGCGCAGCGGTTGAGCGCTGGGTTGCGAAGCTGCCCACAGCCTCTGCAGCGCCCGTTCAATCCCTGGCTGCTCCCCGGCCACAGAGGAGGGTCCCACATGGCACGCAGACCTCTCCTGCCGCCCGCTGCTCCCCTCAGCAGTGTACTTCGGTCCTTCTGCCTGCTCTGCTCCCCGCTCTGGCTCTGGTGAATTCTCTTACCCTCCCGCACTTCTGACTGTACCTAGTGCTTGTATAAATAAATAAATCTTTAAAAAAAAATAAACACAAGATAAAAAAATTGACTAAAATGACATTAATGATAAATATCTTCCCATCTATACATTGACTATGGCTTCCTTTTCCTTAAAGAACGATTCATAGAATAGAATTGCTGCATCAAAGGGTTAAGTCTCTTGATGGGTGTTGTGAAAACCTGGCCCCAGATCATACTGCTACAAGTGGGGCATGAGAATGACTTTTCCCTTGTCGTCTCATGAGCATGGATTATGTTTTTTTTTTTTATAGAGGCATGTTTTATTTATTTTATTTGCTTGTTTGTTTTTGTTTATACATGAACTGGGTACAGGAGGAGGGTGAGAGAATTCACCAGAGCCAGGGCAGGGAGCAGAGCAGGCAGAAGGACCGAAGTACACTGCTGAGGGGATCAGTGGGTGGCAGGAGAGGTCTGCGCGCCATGTGGGATCCTCCTCCGGTGGCCGGGGAGCAGCCGGGGATCGAACCAGCGCCGCAGAGGCCGTGGGCAGCTTCAGAACCCAGCGCTCAACCGCTGCGCCACCGGGGAGGCCCTGGATTATAATGTTTTAAAAAATGTTTTTTTGAGAGTCCAAGGGGAAAAAAACTGGGATCTGTATAATAATCTCCACTTCATTAATTTCTTGTTCACCAACTCCATTTTTCTCCTTCACTACATTTTTAAGTTTTTTCATGTTTATTGGCCATTTTCTACTGTATGTTCACCTTTCATGTTGATTTGTAGAGGTTCTTTACATATGAAGGACAAAAAGCTTTGCTTGCCATCTATATAGACCCATTTATCTTTTCCCTTGATGTACTGAAATTTATCCTTGTATGAGGCCCAAAACTACTCATCTTCACCCCCAGTTTCCATCTTTCAAGGGTCGTGGCCTTCTACCCTCTTCCATAAGAGGTTCTTTGGGGACTGATTTCTCTTGTCCCAGGCATGGAAAGTAGGAGGGTGCCTGGTTGTCAGTCCTGAGGAAATCCTGGGTGCAAGTTTATCACCAGGCTTGTTCCAAGGGTTTGCTCTTTGATTAGAATTAGATTTACCCTTCTGGTCTATCCGACTAAGCTGCAAGGGGCTTCTGGAGTCTCATGCTCTGAAGTTTGTGCAGGGTCTAAAGAGGCAAAAGCTGCATCTGACCCTTCCCATCACTGTGACCTGAAATAAAGTGCTGTCATCTCAGCTATTGGTCTTTATTTTGAACACAGAGACT